CCCCAAAACCCCAAAACCCCAAAACCCCGTTTCATATCTGCAACTTTGAATTTATACAACTAAAATAAAATGGGTGGTTGTTGAGACAAAGATAAGAAGGAAGACGGAGAAATTGTTGATGAGGATTTAGTCACAGATCAAGTTATTAAAGAGACTATTCTACCTCTTGGTAGAGCTATTAAACCCAAGTCTGAAGATAAAAGGAATGAAACATCAAAAAGTCAACCAACCAAAAGGAATGGAATAAAAAATATATAAAAACAAACAACAAGAAAGGTAATTCTATTATCTCTAGAGCTAAAAATGGAGCTCTCTCTGCATACCTTACTGGTCAAGATTACTGGAAAGATAAGGGTAACTCCTCAAACCCCGCTCCTCATACGCTCTCCATCTCTTCCCACCATGACAGCTCTTGTTCCTCAGCCTCAGAAGATGATGCTTACGTCCCTGTAAGTGAGATGGAAATCAGCCCAGACCAAGAGGACCTTGGAAGGAACGATCTTGGTCGTGCCAGTTTTGGGGGATATAGTGCAGGAGGAAATGGAGATTTTGGAGGAAATCATGCGGCTGGAGAAGGGAATTATTCAGCGAATGATTTTGGAGGGAATTGTACAGTGGATGATACAGGGGCTGATTTTGGAGGACATGATGGAGGTGGAGGAGGATATGATGGAGGAGGATATGATGGTGGTGGAGGAGGTGGATATGATGGAGGAGGGGGATATGATGGTGGAGGGGGATATGATGGTGGTGGAGGCGGTGGAGGAGGCGGTGGAGGAGGCGGTGGCTGCGGTGGCGGTGGCTGCGGTGGCGGTGGCTGCGGTGGTGGTGGTGGCTGCGGTGGTGGTGGCGACTAATCTTATATTTCTCCAACAGCTCTCATTCCCTCCAATAAATATTAATCTTATTTTTCATAACATTTTCGTATTATTGCTTCATATGATTTCCTTCTTAGTTATTAGTTTTCTAAAATTAAAAATCAATAATGATAATTTCCTTCGGGGTTTTGGGGTTTTGGGGTTTTGGGG